TTTTTTTTTTTTTTTTTTTTCTGCCAGTCAAATTCCCAGCCGCGAATGGCACGCGTATCTCGTGGCGACAAAAGGAAAGAGGGGAAAAAATGGTGGAGAGAAAGGCATGTCGAGTTACCCCGCGTGGGGCATTCGTTCTGGTTTCCACGTGAAATTGCCTAGGGTAAATGGCATTGCGCCCCGACTTCTCGCGGACCTCCCCCGTGTTCTTCGGCATAGTTCCAACCCAGCCCAGTTCCTCTCCTGTTGTTCCTTTTGTACCAGGCAATCCCTGGACAATTTCGCGCCGTTCTGAATCATCGTGTTATTACACGGCCGTGTGTTTCTTTATTGGGCGTCGACCGTCCCCACTCCAGGGACCAGCTCAGATAGCGAGAGACAATGGACGTCAGTTCTTGCGAATCGTTCGCGTTTCACCACTGTTACTGCTAATTCGATGCCACGCTTTCACTCGTCGACAAATTGAGGGGACACGTTTGAGGGAGTCGCTTGTGGATTTTGTCGAAATTAGATGGGAATTAGAGATTGACGAGCGAACGAAAAGAAAAATGTAGGAGGATTCATCTAACCCTATCCTTTCGGTTCAACGATGTTGCTCCCTTCTCGGCGAGATCTCCGTCGAAAGGCTTCGAAACCAGTTTCCGGTATCTACGTCATCGAATCTACACGCTTGCAGTTTTACTTCGTTGGAATTATAAATATTCAAGTAGAAATGAAATGAAATGTTCGTTTGCGTTACGATGCGGGCATGAAATGGTATTAAATTGGCCAGACACAATAGTAATTGCATTTTCTTCCAATAGACGGATGATATATAACTAGCGTAAAATGTAGTCAACTTCATTTTAGAATTAGATTCATTGTTCTGTTCGTTTTATGCTCGATTCGTTTAGTTTCAGAGCAGATTCGTTAGTTCATCAATTCGAGAATGGTCGTTAGTTACGTTTCACATACATTTAGCGGCATGTTTGAGTAAGAAGAGCGAGAATTTTAGTTTTCCTGTTTCACTTGAAGCGAATTCCTGTTAACCGGATGACCACCACTCGTGAAATTAAAGATTAATGGAAACAAATAAACGCTGAGGCAGATCTTGGATAAATCTCTGCAAGTAACGTGATAATTGACTTTCAACGGAAATGAAGAATAAAGGATCTGTACCTCGGTTAATAATCGAGTGAGGATGCCTTCTACCAACGCAAAATATTTCCTGTAATTTAATGAGATTTAAGTGTGTGTTAGCGTTAAAGTGCATATATTTGAAGTATTTTATACGTATGATCAGGTAAATTCATATGTAAATTTCAAATTCAAATTCAATTCCTGACTTAGTTCTCTTGACACTTTCATTTTAACAGAATCATTTCTATCGATCCATTCTTGTTTAAATTCCACCGTAATAAATAAGCAAAAGGTTGGTAGTAATATACATGAAAAAATTTGAATGCTAAATCGTACATAAACAT